CAAAGACTCACAATCGGACCACCCGCCATGATTTGTTGGGTCAAGCAGTGGAAACACACAAACTGTCCAAGCGGCTACATGCTGCTAGTAGCTTCTTGCTACTGATAACATCTGATAACGATCCCCTGTTACTAGTAGCTTCTATCTTCTTGCTGAGCTCACAGGCTTGGGATATCCATTTACATTATCACGTATGCCGCGAGACATCCATGCTCTCACCGGAGGGCACCTTGGGCTCGGAAGGTGAGCTCCTCGGCATGAATGGGTACACCAATGTTCGGTCAATCCGCCCGTGGAGTGGTGTCATGTGTGACGACCAATCTGTTCGAGTTCGTTCATTGGTTGTCTAGAGCAGCACAGTGCACACAGTGGAAGTTCAAAGTGCAAGAATGGCAACCTTCTTTGGACTCCAAATTCTGTGATGGGATTTAATAACAAAAGGATGTCATCTGAAAGACTCCCAAGCAACAGTCATGCTGGGCCGACTGGGCCCCCTTGCCCTTGCAGCTTCTGCACCGTCTCCTGCCAGTGGTGCTTCCTACTCGTCTTCTGGTGTCACATCCCCGAAAGCCTCTCTGGTGTATGATCTTGTATGACTCATGACTCCACCCGCGGCAACCGTGAAGTTCCGGATCTGCAGTTTTGAAGAGAAAAACAAGACAAGATGGCATGTTCATCATTTCTTTTGAAAACTGGTTGGGATGGAAACCTCTTCACCCACCACAGCACTCTGACAGGCAAGCCTGGAGGTCTTCCACGGAGACCCAGAGTTGAGCCGCTTGTTCGGACCTTGGAAGGAGAAGGAATGGAGGGAATATGCGAATATGCCTATTAGTCTGCTACCTGCTAAAGGACACGGTTTTTCCGCAGATCAAATCAACATCAAATGGATGCTGGATGCTGCTTTGGCAGTGCAAATGATGAATGCCTGGCAGCTGAACGATCAAAGTTTGTGCAGTTGGGGCCCACTTGGCGGCCCTACGTGAACTGGCGGGTGGAAGAGTCCTCCGCATGCAAACGTGCCTGGCACAAGAAATTCGAGTTCAGTTCTGCTGGTGTACTGAGGGTGCATTGCCCATCTTTAGGGCAATCGGTTCCAAACTTCCCCCCCAGATCTATATATATACACTATATACTATATATATATATACAATATACCACTAAAGTCTTGAGGCATGCATATGAGCCACGGTCAAAACTATTTATATATATATACAGTATACGTGGCCCCTTCTCGCCTAGCGATTTGGTGAGCCTCCGAGCGTTTCAGTGTTTGCACGTTGTTCCTAGGATGACACTTTAAGAGAGCTCTTGAACAAGTCTTCCGGTTACAAAAATAACGGGTGAGGGGTAAAAAAATAAGAAAAGCATAGAACAGCATCAGAATCAAAAAAAACATTTGCCGGAGATCACCGCCCAAAGAAATGATCAAAAACATCCCAGCGAGCAACGAAAGGAAAAAAGACTAGGGAAAGGACTGGCCATAGTAGCAGGGCGATAGATGAGGCAGCCCCGCCGCAGAGCCAACCAAACCACAAAGGAGAACAAAAGAGAATGAAAGGATAGACATGTTGGACACAGCAAAGGTGCCCTATCTCAATAGACTAGTGACTAGTGGACAACGAAAGGATGTTTGCCAAATGTTGCAACAAATATATCGTTGTTATATAAAAAATCAAGGGGACTTGCATGACAAATGGCATGCAATAGGCATGGATGCGATGGGCGACCTTTCTTGCGACAGGCGCAATGCATGGACAAAAGTAGTGCAGATTTCGTGGCGCTGGAGGGAGGTACCCCAAAATAGATCGTCATCAGAAACTACACGCCCCTGTTTGCCCCTTTCCCACGAAGGGCATCCCGAAAGTGACAAAGGGACCAAGGCAACTGGGGACTGCTCGGCAGCTGGTCAAAGATGTCAGCCAAGGGCCTCCAATCTTTGCTTCGACCGCCACCACCGCATACCACCGCCACCACCAGTGCATCAGTCAACGGATGACTTCCCCACAGCACCTCGCAGGCCATAAGGTCAGTGACAAACTTCTCCTTGAGCTCCTGAACAAAGAACTTGGCACAACAGCGACATCCAACTACAGCAGTCCAATTAACACTTGAAGAATCACCCCCCGGTACAGATACTGTGGTCTTTGGGGGGTCTCTTACTTCACTGCCCTGCACCTCAACTGCATTGCCTCCCCAGACCAACCGTGACCAACCCACCAAAAACAGGGCTCCTCCAGCTGCTTTGCCATGTCTCCGTCGGAAGGCGCCGTCTGGGGCTCCTGCGGTTGCTACAAGAAGCTCCAGGGTGCGTGTTATGGAGGGACAAAAAACCAGTGGAGGGAGGGGGAGGGAGAGACAAAGAGGGATAATGATACAGCTCTTGAGCCCTTCTTGCTCTTCCACCTGGCTTTATTAGTGACGCTCCGACACTAACATGGAAGTGGAAAGCGGTCTCTTTCCGTTATAGACCGGATGGTTTTCCACTTCCATGATCTTCCATGTGTGTGAGTCAGAGTGGTCTCGACCCCTCAGAGGACCCGAGGCGTCAGGTCTCTTTCCCCCTTCGCCGCGGTACGCGGAGCATAGGCCTTCGGTGCGCGGCCTTTCAGCTGTGCCAGCTCTTTGGCTAACTCCTCGGCCACGGCACGAGCCTTGGTGGAGTCAATCAGCCGGCACCTGTGTCAAAGTGCAGCATATAACATAATATCACAGAAGTTACATTTTTTTTTGCACGTCTTTTTCCGTCTGTCGGCTCTCATGAGAACATCTGTCTCAAGTCCTTGTTCCTTTGGAACACGCACCGCGCCGTAAGCCTCGTGGTGAGCTTGATCTCGCCCTGCTGGAGCTTGGTGCGGGCATGACAGCGAGTGCATTCCAAGGAGGTGCCCTTCCGCTGCATGGTGTGTGATCCATGCCCTGGCCAGTCTTCTGCTTTCAAGAGCCCAACATGGCAAGGTTCGGCCACGAACCTGTTGAAGGCTTCCTCATTGGTGCGAGCTAAAATGTAGCTCTTGCATTCACTGCACCGTAGGTACGCTCGATCCAGCCGCAGGTGGTGGATGCCCGGCTGAGGATCTGCCTGCGAAGCCACAAGTGCGTGGATCATTTCCATCCTGGTCTGCTTCGGAGGTGTGGCTCTGGGAGCCTTTTCACATGGTCGATCGTTGGCCTCCTTCAACTCATCCAGTGTGTTCTTGGTGTGGTACCGGATTCGGCAGTGTCGGCATTGGATGCCGCTGCGGAAGGCTTCCCATTCATGGCCTGCCGTTGATTCCTTGGCCAGCAAGTCTGCGAGAATCGTTTTCTTTTGCTGGAGCAGTGGAATCTTGTGCTCCATGACCTTGTCCTTCTGGTGTAGGAAGTGGTCTTTGTTCCTGAGCAAAATGCTCATCCTCTCCCCTGCTTGAAGAAGGATCTCGTGTGCATCATTGTCGACATGTGCTTGCATGTCCAGGATCTCCGTGGGCTCAAAAAGTTTGCCAGTCTTGGATGCGAGCTTCTGTGTGTCTTTCTGCGTGACCCGTCTCAACTCATTTTGTTGCAACTCCTTGGTGGAGAAGAGGAGTGGCCAGACATGGGCGAAATCTTCGAACTCAAGCCCCGGGAAAAGGTCAGGGAAGGTCTCGAAAGCGACATGTGGCTTCCACGTTTGCCAGGACTTGACATCATACAAGGCAACCGGAGTCTTCTCCACAACATGCAAAGCCAACTGCTTCAAAGCATAGAAGATGGCTCTCCTCTTGGTGGCCGGAGCCGGACAGATGCCGGTGATGGAGGCAAGTTGCTGTCTGGTTTTGGTGTGGTGAACACAGACCGCAAAAGCAAAGCGACGATGACGCTTGTCGCCGCAAGTAGGGGCCACCGCGATGGAGCAAATGTGGCCCTTGTCAGTCTTGAGGAAGCCCAAGTCCTTCCATAAGCCGGTGCCTTCAATGGTGGCCAGGCCTTCCTCTGGCTCATAGAAAAGACTCTGCACAAAGCCCCGTTGCCACAGTTCTGGGTCTGTGCCAAAGTTGAGCCGAGAAACCCACTCTTCAGACATAGTCTTCGCCCTCCCCTTCCAGAAGGAGCATTCCCAGAGAAGGTGCACAAAGGTCAGATCAACTCCACATAAGGGACAATGGCCCGAGATGCCATGCAAGGTGCCCTGGTGCAAAGCTCGCAAACCCGTGGCAATCTCGTCGCTCGTACTGCGTTGGATGTGTCGGCTGATCATCCAATCCAACTGCCGTTCCATGTCGTGGCAACCTTCATATCTTGTCAATCTCAACAATCTTTGCCAACGGAATTCATTCTTCATCTGAGTGTGAATCAAGGGCCAAGGATCCAACAAGGAAATGTGACAATCGGGAATGCCACCATAGCCCGTGCGCTTCCATTTGTGGCCATTGGAGACATCAAATTCCAGATCCATCATGTAGGCCTGGAGGGCCTGAAGGGGCCCTGTGACCACTTGCCATCTGTACTTGGCCTGCTGCAAGGAGTTCAAGGCAATGTTCCAGCTGGACCAGAAAAGGTGCTGCTTGCTTTCATCGAAGCCATGGAACACTTTCCAGACTGTATGCAGATGCTGCAGGATGATGGAATCCCCGGGGTCTGGCTGGTCGCTGTGCATGTCGAAGACCACGTCAACTGACCCAGAACGTTGTAGCCGCAGGCCTCGGGCTGCCAAAACCCGGAGTTGCTGTCTCCGTTGTGGGGCCAGTCCATTCGCCTGAGCGCCCCAAGACATCACTGGATGGATCGCCCCTTTGTGAAGCCGGTAGCGGATGCCGGTGGCAATGCGCAGGCGATTCATGATGCCAACTCTGCCCTTGCCCTTCAGGAACCGTTTGCGAATCTGAGTGACTCGTCGCTTGCGAGCAGCCGTGGAGTCCACTCCTAAGTCACGCAGGACATCATAGTGTTCCGGGTCACCTTCGCGAAGCAAAGCTTTCAAAGCCCGTGCTGCCTCTTTGGAGCTTGTCAGAAAGCCGGTTTTGTCCGTGTTCAGCTTCAAACCGGCCATCTCCATCTGATGCTGGAGAGTTCTGAAGGCTCCCAAGGCTTCCCTTGCAGCGAAGTCAGGATCCCGACTGTGTATGTCAAAACTGACATCATCAACCCAGGTTTGGAGTGCAACCGCCGGATGATCCGTCACCATGCTTTTGAGCGGCCGGAACAGAATGAGCTTGGAGATGGCCGGAGCTTGGGGACATCCTTGCAAGATGCCCCGATCGTAATGCCTTGGGTCCCCATTGATGCCTTCTGCCTGCAAAGTCCTGGGGCCTCGATAGAGGTCGAGAGCCAGCTTCAGATGCAAGGGAGGATAGGCAAGTTCTCTGGCGGGCTCAATGATGGCATCCAAATCAACATGATCATAGAAACAGGTGAGGTCGGCCAAGCAGGTAACAGTGTGAATGCCTTGATGCTTGGCAATCTCAGCATGAAGCATCCGACCGATGGCAATGCTCAAGCAGTCCTTGCCAGGTCTGGCCTGATCCCATGGGAGGTTCTCATCCAAGGATAGCTGCCATCGTTGCAAGTCCGCTTTTCTCACATGGCACCAAACCCGGTACAGGCAGCTGGTGAGGGCAATGGGACGCTCCACCTTGTGGTTCTTGGGAATGAGGACAATGTTCGTCACTCGCATTTGAACTGGCAATTCTCCTTCTCTTTCCATATTGGTGAGCAAGCCAGCCAGTTTTGCCACAGCCGGGTAGGGCAGGTGCCTAAGGAAATCATAGGAGATCCCATCCGGGCCAGCAGCTTTATTGGGTAGTCGACGAAGCAATTGGCCAAGGAGGTGAGATTGAATGGGTGGCAGCTGTTGCGCTTGATCTTGTGCTGCTTGATGTAGGAGATCCCACTGCCTGAGGGGCCTAGGATCCTCTCTGGGATGCCAGATGTCCTCCCACTGTTGTTGTCGAGCTGCTTGTCGTTGTGCCAAGGGCAAGTGCTGGTGAGGACGTTGCCAAGGAACATCCTTTTGCCTCAAACTGCGGAAGAGCCCTCGCAGTCCTTTCTGATGAGCCTTCTCCAGCCAGACTTTGTATTCCTCATTGGTGGTGGCAAAGATAGCTTTGTGCGCGAGCTGCTCCTCTTCAGCAATGATGCGCCTAATCTCAAGGGGCTCATTCTCAGGATGTTGGATCCAATGGGTAAGAAGCGCCCTAAACAGGTCTTGGCTCATGTGGTCAGAAGCATGTTGATGCAAAGTGTCCATCATATTGATGAGGTCCTGTGCAATTCGGCTGTGCTGGGACTGATGAACGAGGTTGACCCGTATCTTCATTTTGTCCCAGTAGGCCACGGAGCCTTTCTTCCATGTTTGGGATCTGGTGTGATCGACCAAAGGGGCTTGATACATGGCGATCTTGGAACCCCGTCCGGTGGTCGGGTTGTGAAGAAGCTGAGTCAGGTACTTCTCCGTTTGTGTGGCCCAACGTGCAAAGTCGGACCCCAGGCCCGTGATGGGGTGACCCATGATGTGGAAGGGCCCATTCTCCTCCCAGAAGCTTGTCCAAGCTGTCGGCAAGGCATGAGTGCGGCCAATGGGAGGAAAGCGTTGAAGCTGTTGCACCGGGATGGCAGCATAATCAGAATTGAAGGCGACTTCAATGGCGCAATGAGGTTTCCAAGGCACTTCCCAGTTGGCAGTGACAGTCAAGCTGTGCACTAGGGAGGTGGACACCAGGAGGTAATCCAGCTGCGCCCCTTGGAGAGTGGTGGGACCCTTCGTGTCCATGATTTCGGCCCGGAATTTGCTTTGAATGACGGTTGCAGCCAAAGCCCCTGGATCATTCTGCCAATCACCTCCCAAAATGAAAGGCGCACTGAGATGACTCAGGTAGTGGAGAAGGGAGCCCAAGATGTCCGCATTGGAGGTAGACTGTAGCGTCTCCCCTGTTTTGAGGTACAGCTGGATGATGAAGATCATGGTATCTTGCCGCTGTAGGCCAGTAGACATCCAGCCATTGCCCTCCAGGTTGTAGGAGTGATCCAAATGCGTGATGTGTCTGGTGCCATGGAGGGTGAGAAAACCCCCAGTGTTGCCTCCACGCCCGCTGTTGGTGGCCGCAACTCCATGTGTCTTCCAGCCTCTGCCATTGAAGTACTGTTGCACTTCTGCGAGTTTCTTGTCGCCTAAGTGCGTCTCTTGAAGGCATAGCAAATGGTCCCCTTTGGTCCAGATCCAATCTTGCACTCTTCCTCCAAAAGAAGTCACATTGGCGAAGATGAGATGAAGGGTCTCGTAGTGATGCTTAGCTCTTTTGGCCTGACTGGGTTGAAGCGCTTCGACCATGTCGGGAGCCAATTCCTGCTGGTCGTGAATCAGCCACAGTTGCACCACTTCTTGTTGCTGCTGCTTGGTGACCTGGCCCAAAGGTTGAGGATAATGGTCATCATCGGCCACCCAGTATGCATTGTCCATGGCATGGATGGTGACATAGTGCCCATTCTCGTGTCCATGCCCCTGATGCAAAACCAGACTGACGATCCTGTAGGTGGCCATGTGCACATGGATGCCATCGTCGGAGAAGGGGATATTGACACTGGTCTCAAACTCGAGGGCTCGGTCATGCTTGGTCCACTGGCCTTGAATAAGAGCTGACCGTTGCAAGTGCAAAATGAGTCCATCAGGGGTTCCATAGAGGTATTGTCCCCCGTCTTCGTTGGCCCAAAGGTTGACAACCTCATCAAGCGTGATAGGGTTCTCCCCTGATGGCAGAATCATGTTCAAGGGTACCTGTTCTCGATCTTCCAGACGTCCATCCGCGTGGACATGAAAGAACTTCCCTCCAAAGAAGGCGCTTTCCGAGAAGCTCCAGAGATGGCCAGCGAAGTCTCCAACGTCAGCCTGATTTCCTTCCTGAAAGTGCTGAAGGACGTGGTGCATGTGGGCGAGCTCTTGTAGTTGACAGGGTTGGTCCGCAGAGAGGAACTGTCGAACAGCTTCATGAGTTCTGCCCCAGGCTATGGACTGGTCTTCTGCATGGGCCCCAGCACAACTCCAACAGCGAAAGACGGAGTTCCCGAAACACATGTTGTGAGGATTGCGAAGGATGCTCGTCAGGGCCTGAGCCACCACATAAACATTGGTGGCCAGATGGGGAGCATCTCCCTGGACAGCCAGGATTTTGTGGAGCGTGTTCTCCATCCGGCGGAGATCAACCAAGAATTGCTGGCCTTTGATGACAGACTTGAGGCCGAGGGTAGGTGACGAAAGCTAGCAGGGGTGCATCCGGACTGGTGGGACATCAAGCGGAGTGAGGCAAATGCTCATGAGGTAAAACGTTGTGAACATGTAAGACACACAAACAGCAATGACACAGCCAACCTTAGAATTGAAGTCCCCGATAATTAAGGAAGCGTGGCTGGACTTTGCCACACTGTTCGATGCATCCGATGTGTTCACGAACCTGTGAGCTTGTTGAATCTGTTGCACCGTATCCATCCGTATCCCAAAACCTCCACGGAGGAGTTGAACCAGTGTGGATGCCATAAGAGGTGCCCAAGAGGTGTCCCAGAGGCAAAACAAAGCTGCTTGCATGATTTGTTTGGTTTCTTCTATCGATGTCGATGTCATGAACATGTGAGCTTGTTGAATCTGCTGTTGGATCGTCATGTATATGTAATGAGGGACTGAAGAAAAGCAACGCAGCGTCATGAGCATCACGGGAAGTCACAAACCAGGCGTATCATATACACCTGGTTTATGTATGTTTGTTTGAGCATCTTTGTCGAGTGAAGTGTCAGCCATATGCACTGAGATGCCGAAGGAAGCTCAAAGGCATGTGTATCTGATATGCCTGGTTTCTGACTTCCCGTGATGCTCATCATTGAAGCCTTGAACCCTCGCGTAAATTTCATGTTTCATGCCCCCCCTTCCAAACTCAAACAGTGGCCTACTTCACCTGCCACCTAAACATAGCACTATAGCACGTACCGGAAGCGTCCCAGGGGGGAGTTGAACCCGCGGGGGGGGGGGGGGG